AAAATAATGCCAACCTGGATGTGATACTTGCAAGGAAGGAAGAGCTGGTCAGAGGTGTGAGGATTGGCTGTCATGGCCCTGAAATAGTGGGGTCCCATCACCCGAGGGGAGTGAGGAAGCAGAATGGAAGAGTGGAGACATTGGACCTCAGAGGAGCAGACTTGTGCCTCTTCTGGGGAGTTTCAGTGGGGATCCAATAGTCAGCACCACTGAAGGGCAGCAGAGCTCAGTACAGCTGGTCTCCAAGGACAGCATCCTCCAAGCAGAAGATTTGTCTGTATCAAAAATCAGTTTGGAACCTGAAAGCGAATTCAAGGGAATCATAACGAGCTTTTCCTACTTCAGGAACACTTCCAGAAGAAAACAAAGATACTGACTGGACACTGCTGGATTTCGTAAGAGTAGGTAAAGACAGATCTGAGATCCTCCATGTCCTTTTTGCCTCAGACTTCACCAGCAAGGTCTCCCAGGCCTTTGTGCCTCAAGGCAGGACTCTGGAGGAGAACAGCCAACGGAGGACAGGAATCAAATCAGGGGCTACTTGAGCAAACTCCACCATTACCAGGACATGGGAATGGACGGGTCACATCCAGGGGTGCTGAGAAAGTAAGACAATGTCACAGTGAGGCCACTCTCCGTCATCTTTGAAAGGTCATGGAGACTGGCGGGACTCCCGGACATCTGGCAAAAGGTAAAGGCTGCACGCATCTTTCAGAAAGGTCCAGGGAATGAGCTGGGGAGCTAAAGGCTGCTTAGCTTCACTTTAGGTGAGGAACGTGTCCCAGAGCATGTCCTCTTGGATTGCATTTCTGGGTGCCTGAATGAGAAGGTGACTGGATCAATATTGACTGGAGATTGGTGATACCACTTAACGTGTAAGAAACAAAGAAAAAAATGAAAAAAAGAAGGAAGCCTATCTTATTGTTGTTTAGTATTGAAATCTATTGACTTCTGAAATCTCTCTAATTAGCCACGTGAGAACTGCGGAATTAAGGAAAACTACGCACAGACACTCGGCTTGTTAGGGTGTTTTGCATATTAATGAGCCCTCTAGTGGCAAGATCCTGCAGGTCCAGGGCGCTTGAACAAGCCTCTAGAGAAGCAAAAGTCAGCAGCAAAACTCAGAGTTCCTGAGGGTGTTAGCAGGCCCCACTGATGTCCATCACCGGAGAGACCGTGGAGGGCATGACCAGAGAAGATTCCCGTCCCTGGGGACTGGTGAAGGAGAAAGTCAGAAGCGCTGGTTGCAGGTGGAAAAGCAAATGTGGAGGTGGATCTGAAAACCTTGGCTGCATTTCATCAATCAAGAGAGCAAAGCTCTGAGCCCTGTCCCCTGGGAAAGGGGATTCTTCCCTCACGGGAGTCTCGGGGCTTTTCCTGGGGGCGGTGAGAGGTGGGGGTGTGCAATGCTGAGTGCAGGACAGCGGTAGGACACCTCCCAGCCTGTGTGGAGGTGAGGAGGCAACAAGGCACTGGGACCATAAGGAACTGCTCTCCTCTCATGGGCCCCAGTGGAAGAGAAGTCAGTGGAAGCCACAGCCGAGGGGACAAGGATGTCAGTTCTGTTGGGGGGGATGTCCCAGCCCCACCAAGGCCCTTGGTTGTCCTCACCACAGGCTGTCCTACGCCTGTGCCTGTTTCCCTGAAAACTTTAACCACCTCCTTGGTTCCCTGCCTCACTCTGACCCGGGATCTCCCAAGCTTTACTGGTGTCCTTCTGTCCCCAGCGGTTGTGTCTTCAAACGCAAAGTTTGCTGAGGATTTGCCAGTGCCTGTGAGTTC